ATTAAAATCTTCCAGGGTGGCTGTGTTTCTTACTCACAGCCACCCTGGAAGACTTTTAATGGAGTCCCCCCAACCAATCTTTTAGACTGAAGAAGCTGCTTGGACAAGTAGCAAAACGTCTCTAACCAAAAAAGAAAAGATGTCTAGTTGCCATGATTCAACCTCCAGACAATTCCACCTGGATGACTGAGAATCTTCATAAACAAGTTCTATACTATTTTTCAGTATGTCTTTTTTTTTCCAGTGTATTTTATTATGTTATTGCAGATTTGGGGGAGAAGGAGGAATAAACAAAGCTTTTGCTTTGCGTTATGTTTGTAACATTAAAAGCAGAGGACCCAAAGTCCCTCTCAATAGAATTTGTAACATAATCCTTTATATGTCACTACTTGAACCTAAATTAAAATTAAGCCAGATTATCTAATCCAAAACACCTAGAATTGTATGTTCCTTAAAGATGTTTAGCAGAAAAACTCTTCTATCCAAATTTCAAGCAAGAGATGCACAGTTTTTCATAACAGTAGTTAATAATAAACCAAGGCATATCTATGATTAGGTGGAGGGATGTATGAATGTATGGTAATGCCTACTAGAAGAATACTGTCATACTTTGCACCTAATTCGTGACATATATTTATTGGTGGCATAGCCCCAATAACCATAAAGGTCCCTCTTTTTCTCTACCTACCTATCAAGCAAGGATATGTGCTGGTATATTGGGCTGTGTTACGTGTACTCATTTTAACTTCTGACTATCTATCTGGACAACACTGAGAACATAATAAGAGATGAAGCTGTTCTTAAGCAGTCCTTTAATAGAATCAAGTAGAAAATTTGTTTGGAGAGGAATTGTTTGATGATAACTTGTTACAACAAAATTTTTAAGGGGCACTGGTAAAAGCAGAACCAATGGACAGGCCGAAATAGACAGTGTTAACTATTTATTCATAAATTAAAGGAGATGGGGAATCTGGCAGGGTATCTTCTGCACCTGTCCTGTGGATTGGAGTCATCTGAGCACTGACGCCATGTGAACAGCTGCAGATGGATTTCAGCATGACACTGTAAACCAACCTTCCAATAACATTACATGTATCTTCACTGAAGCCAAGCAGCCAGCAGAATAGGACCAAGCTATGTTGTTGCCTGAGATACCATCATTTGAGGAGCAGACCTTGTTTTTCTGAAACATATATACATTAAAAACCCACAAAGTCTGTTTTGCTGTGTAGAGATAATTCTACCAAGGCAACCTGAAGCTCTGCTGTTGTAATTTGGATTGCAACTAGATATGAAATTCTGGAAGCTAAGTCCCAATTCATTTAGAAAGTGCAAGGCTGGGGAAGGCTACATTAAAACACTGTTCATTACTTTTTAATCAAATGTGTAAGAGAGAGTCATAAACATTCACATCTACAAACATTCTCATGTGGTTTCAAATTTTAATATTTTAAAATATTCATAATTTTTTTTTGCCTTCACCCAAGGAATAAGAACAGTCTGTACTTTGTCCATCTTCTATTTTATCACTGCTTTCATTGTCTTGTATTGAACGTTAGTTTTCTTTTTAGTTTTGGTATATTAATATCTATGTATTAGTTTCATTAAGACAAATTGACCTTAGAAAAATCAGGATAAAAATAAAGACATCCATTCTTTGTAATTCTGCAAGATAGGTTAGATTGAAAGGTTGTGAATGATTAAGTGTTATATAGTGATTGGTGAAGATTTTAAATAAGATATGCCAGCCCAGGAATAACTATTAAATAAAATAATATAGTTATTACCACTTCCTGTTTACCCACCTTCTGCCATATGTTAGCATTTGGATCATACATATAGACTTTCTTTGTATTATCACCAATAAGGTAAATGACTCCATGCAAGGAGGCACATCGAGGAGCAGAAAGGTACTTGGGGAGAAAGGGAGATGCAATTATACTCCAGACATCTGTTAAAAAAAAATCATCATCATTTTCATGAAAAGCCTCAATATCACTGAATAAAAATAACATTTTAATATATTTAAAAGAGTGTTCATTAAAATCACAGGTTAATCTCTTTGATGGGATAATTTAGAAATTCTGTTTAAGTAAACAAAATAAATCAATAAAAACTAAATCCTGATAGATTCATGTAATCCCATTTTTAT